TTACTTAACCGCCAAATAATGTCAAATCCGCCATACCTTGAAGCTAACCTTCTGACTTGGGTCACATTCTAGCAATATAATTTACAAATGAGTAGCATTCTTTTCCTCCTCAGCCTTACATCCCATGGACATTCCACAGTCAAAGACTGACGACTGTCTCCTAGACCTTGCCAATTCAACTGAAGACCTTCACACTCCTCCAAAACCGCCTTATCCTCTGCATTTTGCCAAAAATAGCCTCTCGCAACATCAACAGCAGCAGCAACAACACAAGCAACAGCAGCATCACCAAAACCAACAACCTCAAAGGAAACAATCACAACATCATTCAGGCGACCCACAAACCTCTCTCTCCTTTCAGAGTCTCCAGCCTCATCCCCCATTCAAGGATTTTGCAAATTGTAACAATCAAAGTCTAGAATCGCGAAAAATATCCGCCGCCTCTAGACGACCTTCAGGCATCAGTTTTATTGGCTACAAATACAGTAGGGCCGTGATTCAAGATCCCACGACTGGATGCTGTCTACGAACATTCTGTAGAGGTTGGATAGGCATTCTCCAACTTCTTATCGCGCTGAGGGCAATTTTGGCACGATTTGTGTTTCTAGCTTTAACCATGACACTTGTCGTGACGGTGGTGAGCGCCAAAGGCCAAAATGTTTACTGGTTGTTGTGTTTCCTTATGCTTCCGTTACTGGTAGATCTTTGCTATTCCATTGGGCTTGTAGTAGCTCCCCGACGAGTTCAGGACAGGACAGAAAAGTGGTGAGTGACTGGGTCAGATTTGTAATTTGTCAACATGAATTTGAATGCAAATTTGTTGACAGCTGCTCAAGAGGCAATTATTTAATTTTATAATCTGAAAGCTGATGGAATAAGGCGTAGATTTTGAATTCAGTTAATCTGTGAGTACGAAAGCGGTCTTTTTTAGATGTGCTGGAATGTGAGTAAAGGTTGAACATTTAGTCTCAGTAAATGTCCGGGAGGCCTTTGCTAGCAACGTCTTGTTTTGGGGCTTGTGAATTTAAGTTATGCTGTTTTATGAGCACAAAAGTGGCATGAAATATTTAAATCTCAACTCCCATTCTGCTCCATAGAGATGATAAGAAGCTCTTTCCTCATGCAACTAGATTCCTCCACCTCGAAAACATGCACAACCAGTTTTTCATGGTTAAAAAGGTGCCTTGGTTTTAAATGGTGTCGTAGCACTTTATGCGACTCAACCGGAAGCGTTCACCACCATCTTAGCTGCAGCGGGAGAAGGAGAATTCTTATGTCCTTTGAAAGAGGACAAAACAAATTAGCTTGCAAAGTGATGATGGAGACTAAACTTTTAGCGGAAGTAGATAAGAAGAGAAAGCCTTGTCAGAGAGTTTGCATATTTACAACCAAAAATTGGCAGTTCATGTTGCCTTCGCCGCTTCATGTGTATCATTCTTGACAGTCTCTGTGATTGTCTCACTCTGACAACCTCTCAAATAGTCAAAATTTTCTTAAAATTGCTGGAAAATGCTCAAGTTCCATGCTCTCCGGGTTTTCATTCTTCCATGTCTAATCACTGGACGTCGTGTTTTTTATAGCCCTGTGATGGGTCATTATTCCTTACGGAATGACTTATAGTGGGTTGATAGTTCCTACAGGTGAGAGAATGGGACCACCACGGGTCATTGTTACTCGTCAGCCAGGCATTCGGATTGAGAGCGTGGCTTGCCAATTGTTCCATAATTGATGAAAGTTAGGAAAGACAGACATCCGCCCAAAGCCACTGTTGAGTGGATCAGGTGGCGCAATTTAGCTTCCAAACGCATGTCTTTTCGTCAAAATTGGCAACTATTATATTTTTCCTTTAGGTTTACCAAATGTCTTTTAGCCTACCTTTTTTGCGCCTGTCCACCGATCTGGATCATTGAATTGCATCAGTTACAACAACTGAACGAAGCAACCGACGCGGTGATCAACAACCAGGGCTTCATAAAGCCAGGTGGGTTGATGCCAATGCGAAATCCCTGGATGGAGGCGGGGCTGGTTTACAATGAACCCGGTGTAAGTTGGGTTGACTTTTCGACATTCATCAAAAGGCATTGGGTGCTTTTAACCTCTCTACCAACACCTTAATTGTCAAGTTTGCATCGGGGACATTTTGTTTTAAAAAAGGGAAGAAAAAGGCGGGCAATTTCAATCTCCCAAACCGAGAAATATTGGGCTTCTTCATAGTACTTTTTGTCCCAACTATCATAAATTACTTTCTTTGGCCGGGAAGTGTGCATCAGAAAGTAGCATAAAGGCTTCTTCCAACGTTGCTATAAGCCTGGGTTGCAAAGGGTGTGGATGGGATGGGAATGAGATGAGGGCATCGCCATTACCGTGGATAAACAATTCCCAAGGCGAGCAGTGTATTACAGCTTCTTAGGGAAGCAGCAGCCCCTCCTTCTATCCTCTATTCTCAATTTACCTCCATTATTTTGCCGTCCACACATTCACTTAGGCAAGAAGATTAAAAAAATTTGTTAGAAAGCGTCTTCAGAAGATGGATAGTGGTGGGAATGAAAGTAGACTTTCCCCTTAAGTAATGCAATTCTTCTCCTTCTTTTTCACATTTTGCCATCTGGCACGTCAGAGGTTCGAAACATGCGGTTGGCGAGACCTCAGGGAGGATTTTTTGGGCATCAGGAGAGGCGAACAATTGCCCAAGGCTACACACAAACGGAGAGGGAAGAAGTGAGGTCTTTTGGTGAAGAAATGATACGTGGCCATTCGTAGGTGCTCGCTGAAGGACAGACATTGAAGTGCATGTCAACCAGTCAAACAGTTAGTCACCCACGCAGCAATCAAAAAACCGGAAGTGTTCTGAGTTTTCAAGTCCTTTTTTGCCTCTCGCCACCTCCTCTTCCTTTCTCCATTGACAGAGGCATGGACCTACCACTACACTCTGTAAACTCTGCCTGAGCAACGCGTGGACTTAGTGCCTTAAGTTTAAACTTGCCTACTAGCAATGACTGGTGAACCTTTAGTCGTGGGCTGGGTGAAAGGTCTTCCTCGAGGAAACGCATCTACTCTCGGTCTCCTGGTCCCTCGACACAAGCCTATTGGCTTGGTAGGGCAAAGATATGCACTACGACTTCCACAAATGCAGACTTATGGAAGGCGGTTGCACGCCTTTTGCAGTTGTGTGAGAGAAGTGAAGCGAAGGGACTCCCATCCACCAAGTAGCTTAAAATTACTGGTGAATTCTTTAATCATCCATTTGTTTTGATCTGACTGATAAAGAGACAGTCTAAAATTTGTCTTTACTTTTCGTCTATCTACTGGCCACAAGACCATGTCTCATCGAGCATTAAATCCATGAGTTTTTCAATGAACTGTCCACGCTATTGCAATGTATTTTCCCCATTCTCATTCAGAAATGCCTTCAAGTTTCTATCCAAAAGGTTCTTTACGGTTTTCTTCTTCCCTATCTTTCATACTTAAAGTGAGAAGAAGAGAATGAGCATCATCCATCTTACCTACTTTTGTGCATAACCCTTTACAATGGCATGACTCCTGTGGACACCTTTTGGTGTTCTTGTGCCTCTGCTGGAGACCAACCGGGCAAAGTGAAATTAATTGAGGATTCTTGGATCGGAATGCCTGAAATGTCCCATTGAATGTGACTCATTCTCGTTCCAGCATTGTCTTTTGTGTTAGTATGAATAGATGGGTGGCAGTGTCTTGGATTACCACGTCAAAAGTTGAATGGACCTCGTTCTTGTGAGGTGACCACGTATCCGTGGGCCACTTGTACCGCCCTCTTCCTCCCACCGAGCATTCGACCAAGCGAACACTTAAGTTTATGCACGTGATGGGCCATGTTAGCAGTCCATCAACTCTCCTGTGCGTTGGCAATGCATCTTCTGCCATATTATCGCATATTTTGATGAATGCAAGGAGAACCCGTTATCGGATGCGGCACTTATTTGCTCAAACATACGGAGAACACCACTTAAAATGCACAAATTGTGGTCTCAAGTTGAGCAATCGTGGGTCCCTGTTAGCAGAGGCACATTTTTACTTTTGTAGGAGAATATTGTGATAATGGGGGATAGTGTAGAGAACTACCTGAATGCAGCCGCAATGCGCAAGAACCTTACGATGGGTACTGCCGTCACTCGCCCGACATTTCGCGTCAAAAGGTCCGCATCTGAGGAAGTGAGTTGTTTTCTTCGTCCACTCAATTTAGGCAACCATTTAAAGTGACTCTGGCTTTACAGAACTGCCAAAAACTTCGACTTTTTCTCGACAAAATAGCAAATTGACACAAAAAAACAAATATCCGATTGCGTACTACTTATAACATCAGAAATTAGGTAGCCACCTCTCACAGTCGAAACATCTTACGGTTAGCGATAAAAAACTGCCAAACGCATATGACATCCCCATTCTTATCTACAAACAAAAGCAAATGTGAGATGTCTATAACGCCAAAAAATGTTTTATTTGAATTCCTGATTTTCGATGAAATTATGGACAATTGTTGTATAATCTTTCACAGCTTAATTATCTCTACCTAAAATTGGCTTCTTAAATAGAAATTGGCTTTTCGGCACAACTTAATTCGCGTTCTCTGCCTTAGTGGAGACGTAACTGGAAGAGCTTGTGGACAAAACTGCAAGGAGCTGATCGAATGATAAAGTGACATTGTCATCTGGTCCAGAGTGGTGAATAGAAAGCACAAATGACAAGTGCAAAATCGACTTTATCGTCTGTGGTGGCTTAACAGTTCGGTTACATGCGTGCCTCCCACCTTGTGCTTCCCATTTGGTGTCATCTGACCGGACAGTTGTAAACGCGAGGAACGTGTAGGGCTGGGCCCTTTTAAAAGCCAAACGTATTCATCTTTTCGCAACTATATTTGTAACCCCGTTGAAGGAAGAAATGCGCTAAGTTGCGAAGGATAAACTATCTTTTTTGTCGTAATTTCTTAATGATGTCTTTCACCTCCCTTTTGTGACTGCCATCTGAGTACTCCAAAGAGGCCTTGAAATTGGTTCTTCAAATCTCGTCTCTGAATAAAGACAAAGCCAGTCAAAAACTATATTTTGGATTCCTTTGGTGGCCAGTGGGCAATCCGTGCAGATGGAATTCGTTCTGTCTCGCACCCACCCTAATAGCTCGAGTCAACATCAGATCATGACCCCAACCACTTACGGATAAGGAGGCTTAACAATTCATTCGAGTCC